GAGGCTGCCACGACCATGCGATATCAGAGCCGTCAGGAAGCGGGCTGCAAAACTGAGTTGCAACCGCGAGTCAGTAGTCACTACTTTGGTATTGGGCATGTGAATCTGTGCTAACAAATCATTAATATATTTTTGTTGCAAGAGATATAGACCAGATTGAGAACGAATCCGTCTCCTCCGAGCAAAAAGCCAAAGACGGCCCAGTCATCGGATACCCCAAAAGGTCCGAAGAAAAAGATACATGTTATAATGGGAGGATCAAAACTTTTTCGCGATTCTTGATCTTGATCTGCGTTTAAAAACGAGTTTGGAACGTGAGGCAATCCGTTTTCCTTCTAGTACTGTCTTCCTTTTTCATCAAGTCATGCTAAATGTTGATTAGCAACGACAATGTGGTTACCTTAATCTATATACGATCTTCAGCTGGATGTGCAATGTTAAGTACCTTTCCCTGTCTTCTGCTTCTGTTGAGGTCTGTTTCTTTGTCTTATATATTCTTCATTGTCTTTAGTAATATCATTTATTTTTTCTGTTCTGATCATGACCAGACCTAGATTGTTTGTGTGTGTGTTCCAGGGGATGTATTTAAACTCTAAGGTTGGGAAATGCTTCCTCGTCTGCTAAAAAAAATCTCCAAGACTAAACTTTGGTCCTCAAGGTGTGTATCATCTAATCTCTCAATTTAAACTCAATAAGTAGATGGTTTAAATACTCAATCCTAACTCTGTATTTGTGATTCTTCTCACGCTCCAGGGCTTGCACTGGGTAGGAAATAAGGGAGTCTGGATTGATCCGATGCTGCTGGAGATACATATAGGTTTAGAGAAAGTGGTAGAGAGTTTAGACAAGTCAAGTGCTTTTTGCACCATATGCAGTTTCTTCAAGATCTTCCTAAGCGTTCATCTAAAAACCAAATCAGTCTCTTGTGAAATTCAGAAGTGCTACTAACAAAACTATCTAAAATAGTCATTTGATTCAGCTTTTGTTTTGGTTTTGTATTCAATGAAAAGGAAATCGAGAAAAATGTGTACTATTTAACTTGATGAGCTATATAGATCACTAGAAATGGCATTAACAAAACAAATATATTTCACCCGTGCACAAGAGGTCAAATCAAGTAGCCTAATTCTTTTATTATGATGTATACTATTAGATAATGAAGCATGATAAGGAAGAATCGGTTCATAGAAAGCAGAGACTAAAAACAAAAGCATAGTAAAAACAATCTTCTCTTCTCTTCATACTCTCCCTTGTCTATTTCATGATTGATTTGGAGATATGCTTACCTCCTTTCTCCATCTCCTTCCAACACCAAGTACCATTGCCACAAATATCCGCATACATGTGATTTGGAGTTTTAGCTTCGATTGCCGCCATCACTGTAAAACCTCTGAGTTTCAAAGCTTCAAGAGTGCATTTGAAATCTTTATCATTTGATACCAAAAGAATGTTGCGAGGGACTTTTTCATTAGTAATTGAATCCATAGCGTGAAAGATGGCCTCTTTCACGAGAGAGATATCGGCTATGTCCGTCTTCCTCTCGTGAGGATCATCTGAAAAATAAGAAGAACAAAATTCAGAGAAAGGACGAGTAATGAGAACACCAAAATCATTAAGAGGTGGATCTTACCGTTGGGATAAATACTTGATTGTCGCATCATGACTCCACACGTAGAACAATGGACAGTTCTTGTTTCCTCATTGTGAAAAGTGAAATCTTTTTTTCTCAGATACTTAACAGCAGCTTTATTACTTTTTTTTTACTTTTCCATAGCCAATGGGATTGCCGTGGAGGAAATAGAGAGGGTTGAGAGTTTTCAGTGCTTTATCAACGTTCTCACGAAGTTGATCTAAACTAGGGTGATCCGTGTTCTCCAACCACATGTTTTCGAAATCCCAAAGCCAAGCAACACCGAAATTTTTTATTTCATCATCGGACTTAACCTACAGTCAAAATTAAAACCAAAACCAGTTATGGATCAAGATAAAGAGGAGCATGATATAGTAATAAACCTAGCTTCGTAAATTACAAACCAAGAGACATACCTTTCCGACGGAACCTGCACGGCTCATAGCTCCGATCCGAAATCTTTGAGATCCGAAGAACGAACGAGTCGGAGATGTGATATGCGATGAGATTCTAAACGGAGATTTAGGTTGAGGTTAGACAAAAGCGTGTAGCGTGTATATATAATATTAGAGCATGATTAACAGCAACATCTTAGAGATATCTTAGTATTAAAATTGATTAAATATAATCAAACCAACAAAATTGATCTAAGATTTATATCTTAGGTAAGATGTTTTTGTTGGTTTAAGATGTTCATACGTGTCATGCTCTAACATGTTAAAAAAACAAATAAAAGGAGAATTTTTTTTTTCTCCCGTGTTTTCTTTCTCCAAGCCAAGCGATTTCACATCTCTCTCTCTCTCTCTGTTTTGTAAACGCCGACGATTTAAGCTCTCCGACGGTCTTGTTCCGTCGAATTGAGAGTAGCACTTGAAAGGAATTTCGTGTTTGAGCAGTCGTTATGTTCACTCTTCGATGTTGTCTCACTCTCCCTCAAGTTCTTGAAACTTCCGCCGGAGAAATCTCTATCAATCGGCTTCCTCCGTCGAATAGAGAGGTTAATTGAGTGGGGATTGCATTTTTGATCCGTCTGTATCATCATCTGCGGGATAAATGGTATGTAACTCTTTGATTTCACTTGTAGATCGAAAATCAGGGTTTTAATTATGCTTCGAAAATTAGGGTTTTTCACAATTGGAAATTGACTGTATCAAAATTAGTGTTCTCTGATGTTTGCATGTCGTTTTCAAACCAAATTAGGGTTGGGTTTTGTTAGCAGAAAGTTTTATAAGTTTTTAGGGTTCATATGATGTTAAAAGATTGGGAATTCGTAATTTATCCGTTTGTTTCCATTTAACATCGCAGATAGTGTCGTTTTGAACCATAAAATTGATCTGTTTGATACGTGTTCTCTGTTATCATTGCTTTGATTTGAGATGATTTGTTTTTGATGAGTTTGATATGTTTCTCTGTTTTTGGCAAGGTCAATTGGAGAACTTGCGACATATGAGGTTTATTAGAGATGAGGTTCATTACATGGAGTACGGAGTAACAGCTCATTGAAGGTAATTCTTGTATGAACTTGTTTGTTTTAGTCTATGTGAAGATATTAAATCATTGAATGAGTAAATCTTGTTTGTTTTAGATTAGGTTAAGATCTTGAAATGCTTTAATTTGATTGTCTACATCATATTTAATTTTGTTTCATATGTCAGTTAGTCTTATTTATGTGTATGTTATTAGATCAATGTAATGCTTGAACTTGCAGTTTTTTAAAATGATTGAATTTGGTTTGAATGTGTTTCTCCAAGTGTTTATTTGGTGATCTCTGCTCAAGTAGAATACCTAATCTATCGCACAAATAACATGAGCCAATGCTAATAGAAGCATATGTTTATTTGTCTTTAAAGTTTAAGCCTGAAATGCTTTAATTTGATTTGATTGTTTTTATTGTTGTCTTTGTGTTTACTCAATGCTTGGTAGTTGGTATTGATTGCTTGTTGTGTCACACTTAAAACACCTAGCACTTATTGTCTAATTCATTTCTTATCTGTCAAACTTCTTGTCTAATTGATTTCTTCCCTTTTAATAAAAACCTAAACACTCTATCTCTCATTATGTTCTATCACGTACACTTAAACACACACCCCTACTCTTTTTTAATAATTCCCTGCCTACTCAACAACAAATCTTTGTTATCAATGCCTATAGCCTCTGTGTTTTATTTGATTAGGTAAAGAATTTAGTGTCACACTTAACACAAACCAAGCGTTTCTCTTGTTATATATGAACCTCTTCTTCTCTAACTTAATACTGATTTACACACACCAAAAACACTTCTTCTTTTTTTATCCTGCTTCCTTTCAACACCAACCAGAGAACTAGGCTATGGATTCATATCCATATAGTCATGGATCAGGCTTTGTGAACCTCTTAACTAGTCAACAAGAGGTTCACAATCTAGAAGCCAATCCGTATGATGATGTCCCTGTCTTTCCAAGCCAAGCTGACTCTCCAAGCCAAGCTGCACACAAACCCAAGGTGAAAAGAGGGAGAAGGAAATGGTCTCCCACAGAAGACGTGGTGCTCATCAGTGCTTGGCTCAACACAAGTAAGGATCCAGTAATAGGCAATGAACAAAAGGGTAATGCTTTTTGGTCACGCATTGCTAACTATTATGGTGCAAGTCCAAATCTGAAAGGTGTGGAAAGGAGAGAGCCAGATCACATAAAGCAGAGGTGGGCTAAGATCAATGATGGTGTATGCAAGTTTGTAGGGAGTTATGAGGCTGCGTTAAAACAGCAATCAAGTGGCCAGAATGATGATGATGTGATGAAACTGGCTCACCAAATCTTCACCAACGACTATGATGCAAAATTCAATCTTGAGCATGCTTGGAGAGAGCTTCGCCATGATCAAAAATGGTGTTCAGCTCCTACTACTAAACCGACTGGACAGTCTAAAAGAAGAAAGACTAAGGAGTCTGTTGAGCCTTCAAGCTGTCAGCCACTGTCCCATGGAGTAGAGGAAGCAATGCATCGTCCTATTGGTGTTAAGGCTGCAAAGGCCAACGCAAAAAAGACTGTGGGAGAAGAAGGCAATGGTCTCTCTAGGTTGCAGGGCATATGGGAGATCTCAAAAAAGAACTTTGAGTTAAAAGAGAAACAGAGCAAGCATAGTATGCTTGATAGTCTACTTGCAAAAACAGAGCTTAGTGACACAGAAATTGCCTTAAAAGACAAGCTCATAAATGACATGTTGTCAAATGCTTGAAGGATTTCTTTTGTTTCATGTATCATAAGTTCGGCTTTCTTTGTTTCATGTATCATAAGTTTGTCTTTTTGTTGTATTTCAATTTGTGTTTTCTGTCATAAGTTAAGTCTTTTGCTTGTATGAACTTGTTTGAATCAATGAATCAGTGTTTGTATGAATTTGTGTTTGTATGAATCAGTTTTGCTTGAAATAGTTGAAGTGCATGACAAACAAGTGGAGTTGTGATATTGTGATGGTAACACGTTTGTGTTTTTGTGCAGGATAGACAAGTTGCTTCACTAGCAACACGTGAAGCAAAAAGACAAGTTGACAAGAAGGGGACATGTTAAAGAGGACAAGATTCCAGCAAGTACACGGACACTACAAGTCTTGATTCTAACCACATGTTTGAATGAGTTTTCTTTTTACCACAAGTCCTCTCTGTTTGTTCACGGATACAAGTATTCATTGTAGCCACATGTTTCACTTTGCTTCTTAACCATGTATATGTTTTGTGTAGTCCACTATAAATATGACCATGTAATATCACTTTGTAATATCAATTGTCCAGACTCTTTCCTTCTTACTTTGCTTCTATTTCTTTTCTACTCTAAAAACAGTTACTTGCAACAAAAATCTCCAAGGCTTCTTTTTCTTTTCTACAACTAAAATCTCCAATTTCTTTTCTACGCCAAGGCTTCTATTTTTACTCAAAAAAATCCAAAACAATTCTACATTGTAAATGGCATCATCTTCCCATGAAAATTTAGAAGAAGCGTTGGACGAAGAATTTAGTAATATTTTACAGCAAGAAATAGATAATTCTTTGTATTCTTACGGTGATCGTCCACAAACCGCAAAACCGAGGAAAAAACGAGTCCATATTGAAAGAAATCGAGAAGAAGGACACATCCAGTTATGGAACGATTATTTCGCAGAAAATCCAACTTTCCCTCCTAATCTATTCAGACGCCGTTTTAGAATGAACAAGCCATTATTCATGCGTGTTGTTGATCGACTCTCCACAATTCCATTCTTTCAACAAAAAAGAGATGCTACAGGAAGATACGGTTTTTCTACACTACAGAAGTGTACAGCAGCAATTCGTATGCTTGCATATGGTTTAGCAGCTGATGCGGTTGACGAATATCTCCGGATTGGTGCAACCACTTCGATGAAGTGCATGGAACATTTTGTTGACGGAATTATTGATTGCTTTGGAGATGAGTACCTACGACAACCCACTGCAGAAGATCTTCAACGACTACTCCATATTGGAGAGATTCGAGGATTTCCCGGGATGATGGGAAGCATTGATTGTATGCATTGGGAGTGGAAGAATTGCCCTACCTCTTGGAAAGGACAATATACACGTGCCTCTGGAAAACCAACGATCGTTTTAGAGGCTGTAGCTTCCCAAGATCTTTGGATATGGCATGCGTTTTTTGGACCGCCAGGTACTTTAAACGATATTAATATTCTAGATCGCTCTCCGGTTTTTGATGACATCTTAAAAGGGCGAGCACCAGCAGTGAATTATACAGTCAACGGGAACGAGTATAATTTGGGTTACTATCTCACGGATGGCATTTATCCTAAATGGGCTACTTTTATCCAATCTATTTCACTTCCACAAACTGAAAAAGCATCTTTATTTGCAACCCATCAAGAAGCTTGCCGTAAAGATGTCGAGCGTGCTTTTGGAGTTTTGCAAGCTCGATTTGCTATTGTCAAAAATCCGGCTCTTCTTTGGGATAAGGTAAAAATAGGAAATATTATGCGAGCATGTATAATACTTCACAATATGATAGTAGAAGACGAACGAGATGGGTATACTCTGTTTGATACGACCGAATTCGAACAAGCGGAATCTGCAGGAAGTTCACGGGTGGATTTCACATATTCTACAGATATGCCTTCAAATTTCTTCGATACGATGGCCACTAGAACTCGAATTCGTGATCGAGGTATGCATCTACAATTGAAGAAGGATTTGGTCGAGCATATATGGACAAAATATTCTAGAAATTAAGTTTAAAATATGTGTGCTTTATGTTATTTATGTTATAAATTGTATCTCATGTATGTTTTAATTTTTTTAATTTGCAACAATTATAAAATTTTCTATAATTATAAATTTTATTTTTGTATTAATATTTTTTTTTCTAAGAACCACATGTTAAGAACCTACCATTAATCACACAAAAATCTTAACCCAAAAATACTATATCTTAACTATCACTTTTACAAATATATTACTTAAATATTCCTAAGATTTATTTCTAAGATACTACCAATAATCATGCTCTTAGACTCTCTCCCTCTCTCTTTTCTGTTTTCCCTTTTCCTGGCAAGCCCACTGGCCCGTATTTATATACTGTTTTATGAAGGGAAGAATAGTATATTGTTCAAAGAATTAAAGTGAAAACTGAAACCGTGTCGATGAGTAGATGTGTACGTGGAAACAAAAACCTTTCACGTCATCCTTGGCACCAAATATCTCTGCTAATTTAGTCATAAAAATCAGTAAGTTTTGACGTGTGACACCTTTTTCATGCAATTACACATAATTAAAGTGAAAAACTTTTTTTTTTTTTTTTTTTTTTTTTTTTTTTTAAATTAAGGTGTTATCTGTATTATATGTGACGTGTGATTCAATTGTTTTCGAAGAATTATACTAGCAAAACGTGTACGATGAAAGAAAGTCTGTCAATTTCATGCTTGGTATCCAATAATCTCTATGTTAATTGGCCAACAATTTTAGTAGTATTTTAACGTGTTCGATGAATCTGTCAATTTCACATGCTTGGTATCCAATAAGGCAATAATCTCTATGTTAATTGGCCAACAATTTTAGTAAGTTTTTTTTTTAACGTGTACGATGAAAGAAAGTCTGTCAATTTCATGCTTGGTATCCAAAAATCTGTATGTTAATTGGCCAACAATTTTAGTAAGTTTTTTAACGTGTGGGAAGTGTGGGACAGATAATTTCTCCATTCATTTTTAGATTTAAGCATGGAATGAAAAAAAAAAAAAAAAAAAATCAAATATATGTTACGCGTTTTACGACTCAACAAGTAAAAAACTAAAGTCACCCACTCACAATGTTAGTAACAAACTCAAGAGACTTTCTATAAAGAGGTGCTCGCCCGGTTTAATCAATTTGGCTCAGTAATTTCGTTTAGGATTTCGGTTTAGATCATCATTATATTTTGTTTAGGACCCGGCGTAATCCAAGTCCAAACCGTTTTCAAATTTCCCACTTAAAATGTTCGTTGTTGGGACTTTGAAATTAAGCATCTTCATGGTTGAGCCATACAAAGAAAGTGATCAAGTGGTGTGTGCATGCATACAACACAAAACAGCATGACCAAAAAGGGTCCAAGATACGCATTTTCTTGATGTTTTTGAACAAATTAAACCCTGTCTGAAAGAAAATTTAACTACTGAAATACGAATCATACAAGCTGAGGATGAAGAGATCAGAATTTCAGATATGTATCTTCAAAACTTAAAACACTTACTTAACAAATGAGGAGACATGTGCAACTGTTCATCTCCTTTAGAAATTCATGAGTTCTCTTGCGGTGTTTGAAAGCTGATTCTGCATGAGAAAAATACAGAGAGGTAGTAAAATGCACAACTGAAAAATTGCAACTCAAAGGAATTGCAAAACATAGTAAGGAACTTATGTTTTGCAGCTGAGAAGTCAGCACCTTCTCTGGCTTCATCCTCAGCTTGTATGGAGAATGTCTCCCGCTTTATTTTTGCATCATTAGTCAGATTATTAACAGCAGAGACATGTTCGTGCAAGACAATTTTTGTTGGAAGAGACGGCATCTTTGAAATCATGAAGTCTTGAATCAACCTGCCAGGCAACACATACAGTTTATGTTGCAAAAAAAAGGAAGAGAGAAAAAAACAAATAAAGGAAGAAGCAACGAACCAATTCGTGTTGGCCATGGACGAATGTGTTGGATTATCAAAGGACTTTGATAAATAAACAGAGAGACTTGACGAGAGAGACAGAAACAGAGTTGTGAAAACTGAAACTTTATTAATTGAGAATCTGAACTGTGTTACAAACAAAGACAACGTGTTCTTATAGTATTCATCCAAACAACACTAATAACAAGAGTTGTAACTCTTAACATAACTACCCTTAAGACAAGACACACCTCTAATTAAATAAAGCAAGCGACCAAACTCAACTAAAATCTAACAGAATGTGACTTGAGACTAGGTTAGTTAAATCTGCTATAAGTTTATCTGTATCAGATTTTGACTGAGCTTGCACAACACATATCAGTTATAGATGGGATCAAGCAAAGATGTTTAGCGTGAAACTTGCAGAGATGTAGTAGTATCATGACCTCGTCAGTCTTCTGAAAATAAAAAATTCTGTTTTATGTAACTATTATTTGCCTCTGCAACACGACTCTCAGAATTTTTAGACTCTTCCATAAGCTTCTGAAAGAACATACTTGTGTATTCAAACATCTCCTGTGTTGTGTGGAACCTCTTCTTATAAGCAACAAAAGAGAAACAATCAGTTAACAACTCTTGTAAATCTCCAAGACCAATAAATGTTATATCTCAGCGCACTGACCTGCCTCAGTTCCCTCGCAAAGAGAACCATTTCTCCCTGATGGGACGAGAGAGTGCTCTGAAGTTCATCAAATAGCGACACTGTTGTCTCATCTCCTGAAGCAAGAAACTGAAATTGACGAGACAACTACTTCAAAAACACACCAAAAGTCACTAAAACAAAAGGAAGAAAGTTAACAAGGCATACCTCATCAATGGAACATGCACTTGAAGTAGTCAATGCTGAAACTTCCTCAAGACAAGCATATTCCAGTTTGCCTTGTGCAACCGAACTACATTCTGCACTGCCTCCAAGTGAGAACTATATAAATTCCTTGAAGCTCTAACCTTCTTTTTCATTTCTAGAATGGCCTACACAAACAAATTTGCAGATATTGTTACACAGACTGTCAGAACATTAACAAGTTCCAGAATAAATTTATGCTACCCTTGACCAAAAAAAAAAACTAGACAAGACATAACTCATTGATTTTAGAACAAAACAGTTTTATACCTAGTTGTGGGCCTCTAAACGAGACTGGGACATTTTGTTAACACCCTGAAGGTGTGCATTTTTATGGGACAGACAAGAAGCAGCCTATTGAACAGATCGGAAATTTGTTCAGAAAATTGTACTTGATAATTGTCTATCACTTTTCTAATATCTGCACTGAGCTTGTCCTCTCTGCCCGAAAAGCAGCAAATCAAGATCGCATATTAACAGTTCTTATGAAATTGCTAATGAAAAGACAGGCCGAAGTAGTAAAATACAGATACCAATTTTTTGGTGTAATGAAGCATTGTCTTTACTAGTAGCATTCTGTAAGTTGGATTGCAAAATGCAAGCTTGTCGAACCAGTACATTTTCTGGAAAAATGTGACATGTCAGAAAACTTTTTAAGCATTTGATAAGAGCAAACTAAAGAAAATACCAGCTTTTTTCTGCTCCCAAATGATGAAATATTTCTCCTTCATGGCATATTAAGATTTATTCAATTCCGCGTTTGTGGAAGCAAGCACTTTGCATGTTTGGCTCAAGTTTTTCTAGACAGCACATTAAAGTCTCAAGAGTATATTGATATTGATATAGTTATGAAGCACAGAAAGTCAATCTAAACATAGTAACAAATGCCTCGGTGATATCAAGCTTGCTAGTCAGATCAGAGCACTCCCGCACTTGACCTGACTTACTTATCTTGCAACTCCTAAAGTTGCAGGTCACAAAAATATGTAAATAACCATGTTCACATGTCATTTCTGAATTTAACGTTAGTAACATTGATCTAAAGAGTAAGAAGAAACTAACTTTTTGGTAATTCTCTATCTGACCATTAAGTTAGATAATTCTCTATCTAACTTTTTGTTAGTAACGTTAGTAACACAAATGCTACTTGATTTCCAAGTTAAAATGTTCATTGCTGGGATTTTGAAACTAAATAACTTAATGGTTGCGCCATACATAGAAAGTGTAGTGAACATGGGCAAAAAGGGTCCAAGACTCGCATGGTGTTGATGTTGATGTTTCAGAACAAAACCTTGTCTGAGCTCTTAGGTTTAAAGCGGAGGAATAATTAAACCAAACTAGCAAAGATGCTTAAAAATACAAGTAATATATTCTTTTGGCGAAACCTGAGATCAGATGATTTAGTTGAAAACAGAATTAATCAAACAACCACTACAATTTTAGGATTACAATAAGGAAGCAGAACTAAAATCTAAGTGAGTTTGATATAAAACAGCTGAGTCATGATGATCTCTGTGACTCATACCAGTAGTAAAACGGGAGATATGCACCGCTGCCTTATGTTTCTTCTTCCGCTCAATGGAAACAACTATTGATTGCGCGGCGGTTATAAATATCTGATTCGGCCGATAGGCTTTCCTCCATGCAATAGGTATCCTGGCCATTCTGAGGTTTCAGGGTTTTCGGGTGCAGCCTCATTAGGCTGTACTAAGAGATTATTGTAACCTCTCGAAGCTGAACATTTAAGACATTCGATGAAGTCAATGTCACCTGGGATGTTGTTTGAGATGACGATCACATTTGATTCTGTAGAATACCTCAGAGGTAATGTATCTATTTCCCACAATTGAATGTCATGTATCATCCTATAAAATCTCGCATTCTTATCACCTGTAAAAATATACATGCATGATCGGAGAAAGAGATTACATATACATATATGTAAGAGAGACAAAGAGTTGAGAGAATTCACCTCCGGGAAGAAAGTAAATTTTGGCTTTCCGATATTCATCCACTAAGTCATCCGAGAACGATATCTTCTCAGCATAAGCCCATATTGTCATCTCACCAAAATATTCTTTTTCCTCAAGAACTGATTTGATTTTCTGATAGATCGATTGAGGATCAAGATCTGTTGCATTTTCAGGTTCTTCCTCTATTTAACCTTTAGAGGTTCACCATCTCTCACACTCTCTTTAGTATCTCTCTGTTTCTTTTGTTGTTGAAACAGAGATTACCTTGTTCTCTCTTTACTCTCTTTGATTGTTACACAAACGTTTAGTAAGAGAGAAGAGAGAAACAATTAATTGTCTACATCTTGTTTATTGGATCAAAAGATACTTTTCTTACAAGACACACACACATAGATATAGTGGTTTTTCTACTGACCACACACATTTGCAACCATACTTCTACTTAGACCTAGACCTTACTTCTAGACATCATTACCTAAGGTTATAACCAAGCTCACAAGCAAGGTTAACCAACAACTCTTACACAACACAACTCTAGTCTTTAGCTAGCACTTTAACTAACAAAACACACTTCCTTTAATTTGGGCCTTAACCAAAAACGTAGCCCATTAGTCTTCTTAGGACCAAACCACACAAAGCCCAACACCTTTCTTCTTGTTGACTTTGCTCCTTCTTCTCTATGTGTCGTTGACCTTGTCACGACTTCTTCTTATTCTTCCTTTGCCTTTGCTCTATGAGCACTTCTTCTTCTCGCTGAAGCTTCTTCTTCTTCTGCAGGTTTAATCAAAGGTTCAATTCCAACAAGATCATTAGGGAGTGGTGAATCATCGACGTCCCAGAAGACGCCTGTCTTACGCCCATCAACGCGTGTAATAGGCCCTGCAAGGTTTCATAAAATGGAAATTCATATTAACCGTATTAATTTATTATATGACATATATCGATTAGAGGAAGAGAGATATCTTACTGGAAAAATCTTCATTCATGGTTTCGACTGAGATCACGATAGAATTGGGAGAGAAGAAAAAAAAAAAAGAGAGCAAATTAGTGTTTGCAAAACGGAGAACGCATGCATAAACAAATAAAAATAAAAATAGATCACGTAGTAATGAAGTATGAAACAGCTTTTCTGATGCCGCCTCATCATGAGGCTGTACCAAGAGAACATTGGAGTCCTCCACTTTCTCAGTATTAGTATAATAATCCGTATCAGTTTCCCAGCTAGTACAAGAAGAAGTATAGTCAACAATTTCGTCAATAGGCTTTTCTCCATTTAAATATCTTGTACAGTCCGATATGGACTCTGGAGTAAGAAACAGCTTTTCTGATGCGGCCTCATCGTCAGGCTGTACCAACAGAACATTGCGACCTCTCGATCTCAAAGCCGAAAGAACCCTCATGGACTCATTGTCTTCAGGGATTTTTTTGGAGATTACCATCAAATTGTGTGGCTTATCAGAATAGTTACATTCTATGTTCGTAATGTCCTCTATCATTAAATTAACTGAACCTAATACATATCAACACAGAGATCTAGGTTAGGTCATGACAGACATACATAAATATAAGTAGAAAAAGTGTTACGATGTTTAGGTAAAGGAATATACCTTTGGGGTTGTACATGATCATTCCGTCTTCGATCAATTTTTCATCCAAGGCTTCGGGGATCTCATCCTCACCATAAGCCTCGATTCCCACAAACGAACCACCAAATATTTTCTTACGAAATTAAAGAAAAAACAGTGAGGAAGTTTCGGTTTGAAATTAGGTTTGATAATATAGATGGATTTATTTATAAGAAAATATATGTTATCCCCTTACTACAATTGTATATTTTTTTTTTTAAAGTATATGTTCTGTGGTTTTGATAATAATAATAGTCTCAACTAAGATGTTTATATAGAGAGATCAAGAAATAGTGTTATGAAATTACATTAATCCCCTAAATGGTCTGAGAGGAATGAGGAAGAAGAAGAAGGACGAGGGAGAGAGATCAAGAAATCAAGAAATAGTGTTATGAAATTACATTAATCCCCTAAATGGTCTGAGAGGAATGACATAGAGATCACCTTCTGGTGCCTTGTCGTTTGACGCAACAGTTGATCTCAAAGGTTGGCAGCTCGTAGCGTTGTATCATTCCGGATCTGTTTTGGGAAATTAGCCATAACTCTCAAACCATAAACCCAAATCTTGATATCTTTAGGGATTGGGTAATCGTCGACATCCCAGAAGACGCATGTGTAAGAAGCTTCACGCAACAACAACAAAAAGAGAGAGAATTACGAAAACGGAAAAAGGCTTAAACAAATTGAGATAGAATAAAATTCAATATACATGAGATGAGAGATCGATTAGATTGCATAACTGAGATGGATCTATGCAAAGTTAACTGATTACTGAAAAACGCATAAGCAAACTGCGAAACCGAGGGAAGTAGATTGCGATAGAATCGGATTCTATAAAATTCAATATAGATAAAGAGATCGATTACAATTGCATAAATAAATTCAATATAAATGACACAGATCTGCTAAGTTAACTGATGATTACAGATAGATAAAGAACTTTGCATGGTTTCGACGTAGAGATTGCCAGAGAAATTTGAGACTTTTTCTATTCGATCGGGAGAAACAAAGATAAGAAAGCGAGACAAGGGGTTGCCTCTTCTATATCAGCGGTTTATACGCTACTAGGTTTAGGTTTAGATCTGTGCCATGCTATTAGCCGTTGGATCTCACTGTTTATTAAAGAGTGAAGAGAGGAGAAGTTTTTTTGGAGTTTAAATCCGGTAAACGGGGAATCACCTTCTCTCTGAAAAATAGAAGTGAGAGAATTTCTTTTGGAGATTGGAAAATTTGATTAGTCGGTATATCTGATAAGTAATACAAATAAGAATAAGTCTAGAGCTAAACCATAGTTGCAGCTACCCTCACATCCTCTTGTTTTCGTAGTTTTTCAAAGACATGATTCGCGACAGTATCACCTTCTCTATCGTACGAGTGAGTTTGTTGTAAGTCCGGTAATGCGTTTTATACTTCCTCTCTTTTCGTTCTTGCCATATGTAATAAATAAATTGTTGCTTGAAAGGCCAACCGAAGAAGGATATATCTATTTTTCTCAAAAGAATGGGTGAGTAGCTTCTGAATTGATAGATTTTCTCAGGCTACGCAAGGGTATGTGAAGCCGCAAGGGTATGTAAAGCCGGGTATATTTCACATTTGATATTTTAAAGTTTATTAACTTAGTAAATTGTTTTAGTTTGTTTTTGTATACATTACAAGAAAATCATGTAATGTTGTATTTAACATTTTAATAGAAGATATATATATATATATATATTAGGTGAGTAATCCGCCCAAGACGACACTATTACATTTTTATGGGCACAACTAAAAGCCACAACTTAACAAAATCCCTAATGCATCAAAGTATATTAAGAGTTCTAAAATCCCTTCTTCTCTAATTCTATAAACTACTTATATAACTCATTTAATATTTAACGTATGAAAAATAGAAGACTTTTACAAAATGTAAGCTTTTTTAATCATGTGTAATTATTAGATTATTTCTTTTGGAATGTAACCATGCAGAAATAAGCTATGAATCGGCATATTAGTCCCATAAGAATGAGAACAATGAGACATAATATCCAATCACTAAGATCATATCCGTTTTGAGCCAATGAACTGCATCTAGTCACCACCCACACTCCAGAGTACCTAACCCAACAAAAAATATCCAAAATCAAATTTTCTGAATTAAGAATGATTATGTGATAGAAGAATAATCTTCAAACTTTCTACCTTTGAGCATTGGAAAGGACAAAAGCTTCGAGAGTCCATTTGGGGTAGCAGAAGCTTCCGAGATACTTAAGAACCATGCTTTCTTTATCTTGATTCGCAATAAGAGTCATAACAACGGGGACTAACACCGATAACTGCAAGAACAATAACCGCAAATTTAGGTACCATATGGTTAGTGAGTTTTTTTGGTTCCTTTATATATGAATTATGAGAAAGTGAGGACAAACCAATTGGGCAGCGCTAGGACTGTACAATATGGCAAAAATGTAAGCCATGCCTGTTACGCAGTAGACCAAGCATACTAGTACAATGTAGTTGTCTTCGAAACTAGATCTCGGGTTGTTGAAGAAGTAGAACATGGACAAGTACACTAAAGGTTTCATAATTGTGTTTAAATGGTCCATTGTATCTTTAGCCATAAAATGCGCCAAACTGCTAATTCCAGCGGCACTTTCTCTCCAATATTGTAGTTTATCTACAGAGAACGATCTCAACGCCGAGATCTTACACAAAAGAGCTACAAAAAAGATAAGGACATACAAAAAAGCTTAGTTAACGGTCCAAAATCGCGAATACTCGTAAATATAAGTTAATATTAGTGTACGTAAAAAACTTACAGACGGCTATAATGGTGTATGTGTAGCCAAGTGTATCAATCGTCTCGTCGTTCACCTTGGCAAGAGTTCCTAAACAAGCTCCTGCAACTAATAATATTAGGAAATCTAACGCTTGTAGTCTTGCTTCTCTAAGTCGTTGTTTTCCAACCCTGAAATATATAGACTAAAGTTTTAATGTACATATATGAAAACTAGCAACCACAAAATTTCATTCGATCAAATCTAGAAAAATCATACCTTCCAACAAAATATCTATATTGTCGACCTACGGTAGGAGTTACTCGATTAGAATTGTCATGCGAATTTGAGTAATTGTGTTGTAACTGATCTTTCGTGATTTCCACATTAGTTTTCACATCTTGCCATAGATCATTACTAAAAGAATTATGAGTGGAATCCTCTTGAGCTGATCCAGTTGATGATGATGGAAGTCCATCACAAAACTTCAACATATCGTGAGGCACAGGGTAACCATTGTGCAACATCCATCTCACCGGAAGTTGTTCTATAGTTATATCACCATCTGGTTTCACAATGCCTTCAAGAATGTCTATATAATGATCAGGAGGATTGACACGATCGGGAACCGTGATCCCGATATCAGCAAAATATTCTTCGATTTTTTTGACTGATCCATGGTACACGGTAAGGCCACCTTTTGCTAGTATGATCATGTCATCGAACATTTTGTACATTGTATAACTGATAAGAGGAAAAAAAACAAATTACTCTATCCGTTTCATAACTAAATGTATTTAACTTAGCTTAATATTTTAAACAGGCATAATTCTTAAGCAATTTTTTTTTTAAACGATATTTTTTTGTGAAACGGAAAAAATAAATTAATTTATGGTGGAGATAACATACCTGGGTTGATGCACGACCATACAAATGTTAACACCTTCAAGTGCTTCACGTCGAAGTGCTCTAAGAAGTAATTGTGAAGATGCACTATCTAAACCTGTAGTGGGTTCATCTAATATCAATAGAGAAGGTTCCATGACCATTTCAACACCAACGTTCACACGTTTTCTTTGTCCTCCAGAGATTCCTCTTTTTTCTATCGTACCAACCAACGAGTCTCTTACATGTTGTAGTCCTAAGCTTTCAATCACTCTTTCAATGATCAACACTTTATCTGCTTTTGACATATAAGCACTTAATCTGCATGTAAAGAAATATATATAAATAAACGATATGCAACATTTTTTATAAGTATAAACTCTATGTAATAAAATGTAACCAATTTTTTAAGACATGGACTCTTAATCTCCTCTATGATATGAGAATAAATTTACCATGGTTTTACCTGCATCTTGCGCTAAATCGAAGGTTCTCCTCGACGGTAAGATTGCCATGCACAACATCATCTTGTGGCACAAATCCAGTGATCTTCTTATATGAGTTTATGGAGTCATTTCTACCATTTATGAGGATTAGACCAGTCCTCGTACATCCAGTTGCTTTTCCAGCCAAGGCAGAAAGAAATGTAGTTTTTCCAGCTCCTGATGGACCCATGACGGCAGAAACACGACCTGGCATGATCTTTCCGGTGACAGATCTCAATATATGTTTATGTTTACCCTTCAATGTAAGGGTTAGATCCTTAAACGCAACTTCTATAACAGGTCTAGTCCTCATCTCAGTGTCGGTAGCCATCGAAATAACTCCCGAGAATGTCAAGTTCTTGTTGTTTTGCTCCATAGCTTTCTCCTTCTCAATCTGACCATAAGCATACTTAAAGATTTGGCTTTGAGTATGTAGTTGTTTACCCTTTGGAGCTTGCGGCTTCTTCCCAGGTTTACTACCGGTTCCTACATTGAATCCTTCGTTGTTACTCGGGTTCTCCTCCATTGATTTCATCATCTTGGTTAAATTACTTGGCTCTTTTTTCTTGTCTTTTGACTTTCCTGACGCTTTAGCAGGTGTGGCATCCTTTCTAGCAGATTTCATGCGAGAAAATGTTTGAGATAGTTGTGCAGATAATCCCATCTTTTGGTTCTTGGCAACACCTTTTGCAGTTTTCCACCTTTCTCGAGCTTGTGTTGTTTCCTTTGCGTGTCTCGCTGCAGCTTCTCTCGACTTTGCTTGTCTTTTTTCTCGAGTGGCAAGAACTTGATCGGAACAGTTATAAACCATGATCATGAGAAGACTTAGTGACGCCTACATATACAAAAATGAAAACTATACTTAATTTCCAACAAATTTAAAGCAATTCTTTTTGTTATTAACAAAAACTTACAATTAAGATGGCTCCGTAGGCATGAATATTTTGGTTTGCGGTATTCGGATTACATGTTGCGAGCTTAAAACATGCTAAAATGGTCACCAAAAAGAGAATGAACGATTAAGTTAATTTGTGACATATTTTGAACGATCATCTGATAAAACAGTTCATTTTCTTGGTTGTAGAAACTTACGTTTTTGTGAAGTAGAACCTTGTCTGCAGTAATGCCTGAGTAATACATAAAACATTACATCCTTAATGTAACCAAATTTGATGAATATTTCACATATGAACAAATTATTCAGAAAGCTAAGGTAAAAAGAGTTGTGAGATAAAAGAATCAATACCCACTACTACAAGTGACCTTTCGAATCGTTGTTGGGCAATATGAACCTGGTGAACAAAACATATCACCACTACTCTCAGCATCAACCCAACTATCTGCAGAACCACATGTATGATTCAACTTTCCCGGAGGAATTTGGTAATTATATCTGCAATGTAAAAACTCTTTCAATCATCCACTAATGATATTTTTCATTAGCCTACTCACTTAATCTAGAAAGCTAACAACTTACGGCTCACAAAATCCTGTTGTTTTATTAAGCTTGGCAAGCGGGCAATATGCGCCTAATGGACACGCTTTGTTTACATAAGTCAGAGGATAAACAACAATGAATATGTTAGATTAAAGATTTAGTACTTAAAATGTTGATATAACATGTATATATAAGGATTTCTTACGTATCATGCAAGCAAGACCTTGTGGACAAAAGAAACCCTCACAACAAGGTTGACATTTACGAGTTCTAGATGGAAGAATTTTTCCATTGTTGAGATCAAATCTTTTTTCATCATCTGCATTGCAACTCCATCCTGGCTCGCATCCGGAAACCCATTTAGCTAAATTGCAGTTGATGTTAGGCTTTACATGAACCGTTGTTGCTTCATCTCTTCTAACAAAACTACTAAAGTAGAACTTTATCTCCGCAGCTGTACATAGTCTAACTGTGAGGTCACCTGCATAACACCAGACCATTAAATTTCAATGTTCAAGTGACTAAAAAAAATATAACCATTTATTTTGTTTACCATCATTTTTCTTGACACAATTGCTTAAGAAGTCCAGATTTTTATCAAAATTAAATGCTTCATTCCAATCACCTTTCCTGAATTATCAACAAATTATAAGAAAAATATAAAATGGATGTATTGGCTCAAACATGGGACTACATTAGAGGATTTTGAAAATACTTACAAATTTTTGATGCAATATCCTAAATCTCGATCGACGTCAGCCTTTAAGACATTCTTTAGATTCTGAAGTCGGGTATATATAAGATTTGTAACCGAAATAAGAACTTTTGGGTTCCCTGTTTTACTGTAATCATCTCCATCCAGACATAATGCCAATGCCATAAGACTCAAGGCAAATACAAAGAACAACAAGATGTGTTGTGTCCAACAAACATCAACCCTAAATCTCATTGTTCTTAATCAAAGTCTTGATATAAAATCAGAACCGTCCGAACCAAGATATTTGAAATGTTTGACCTAACAATGGAATAGAAACATTGGAAGTTACCAATAGAAATATTCGTAGAGATGTCTTGTGTTTTTCTATCATGTCTTGAGAACAAAACATCCACCTTTTTATAAAAAATTACGGCAATGAAACAAGAGAAAACCAATTAGTGTTCTTTAAAAAATGGAGAAGAAGAATTTAAAGAAAACTAACGAGCGAGCTTGTTGCAGAAAAAAAAAACACAAATTAGAAAATCTTGAAATGATGACGTTGAGATCAAAAGTTGGAAAGTTGCAAAATGAGAGACTTTGTGTGAAAGAAGAGAGTTGAGAAGGGTCAATCGTAAGAGTCATGGAAGGAGGTCCAGATTTCTAGCAAATGCAAGAAAAAAAATGGCTGAGAAAAATGATTGGTTTCTTATAACTTATTTACCAAAAATAGAAATAGTTGGATTTCATGAGAATTTTTTGTTTGTGAAGTTTTTATTTATTTAAATGGTTTGGCTTAAGAACTTTAAGCATTACAAACAACAAATCAATAGAGAGGAAAATCATATATACATTTTAAACATATGACATTAATTTTAAATCAATTTGTTTACTAAACCAAATTAGTGGTTTAATGGCAAAATAACATTACCAAACTTTTAAAAATCCTAATTTGAAACTCCAAACCTACGAAGAGTACATTAAAACCTCTACTAAACCAAAAGCCTAATATTACTGGTGGTGAGGTTCCTCCTCCGCCGCGATCTCAACGTCAGAATCCGCCGCCGTGGTCATCGGTTGTAAAAGCATGGCTGTGAACGGCATATGACTGTAACCATTCACCGGATACTGAGTTCCGATTGGCTGACACAGATCCAGCGTACAGCTCGGCGATTCTTGCGTTTGCGTTTGCATCATAGCAAACATCATCGGCGACGAGGAATCAACCGCCGCAACACCAACCGAATTCGAAATCGGCTTAGTCCCGGAGCCAGTAGCGGCAATAATCGACGGTTCAGCTTGACTAAGAAGCCATTCAATGGTTTCTCCATCAGTTTTGTGACCGAGCTCACGCGTCAACTGAAAAATCCTAGCGGCGACGAGAGCCGGCATCATAACTCGACGACTTCTTCCCTCAACCTTAGTGTGACGGTCTTTAGACCTGGCGGAGATACGACCGCAGCCGCCAAAGGAGGATTTCGAAACACCGATCTGCGTTTGAAAACGCGATTTGGAAGCTATAGCGTTGAGGTTGGACTCATTTGTGCACAATTTCTGAAAAATCATCTCCGAATTCGTCGATTTTGTAAACTAATTTCAGTGATGATGAACAAGCTTTTTCTGATTAACAGAGAAAATCTTAGGGTTCCTAAAGGAGAGGGAGAAGAAGATGATTCGAATTAGCTTTTGGATATTTGGGCTTTTAGGCCCAATAAGAGACTCAATCTGGTCCACTAAGTAGGAAAAAAAAAGGGAGAGAGAACAAAATCTGACTTCCATGGCAACAAACAAGTTTTAATTTTTAGAAAAAAAAATTGGGAGTGTGTCGCCTTATCTGTTCGTCATGGCTCTGTAGAGTAGCCTCATGTTCTTATTCTTCTTCTTCCTTAGCCATTCGTGGAAGCAAAAACAGAGTCTTTTTTACTTTGGTGATTCTGTGAAATGGAAGCTACGAGGAACTTGGTTTCTTCGTCTCCTTCGTTTCAGACAAAGACCCATCTCAAGAGCTACTCTTCTCCTTCCTCAGGTACTGAGCCCGTTGATGGATTTTTGTCTCTGCTGGATTCGTCTGGATATGTTTCTTTTTCCTTGTGGTTTGAAGTTCATGGATTTCAATTTGAATTCTTGTATAGATACGAGTTTGAGTTAGCATTTTCTGATTTGTTTTTGTTTCTTTGTTGGTGTTTTGCAGTAGTGATGCTTCATGAGCAAACAACAACTCCTGTAGTTAACTCACGTCATCTCAATTCTCTATCTCGACATTTTCCTGCGTCGGTTCTCTCACAGGAGCCACGGGAAGAGTCTAGGCCTTTGTCACATGCGTTAAGAGAAGACAGAACATCCCAGGTGTGTTTTATAGTAGCAATATTGTCATAAAAGCATGAATCAATCATAAAGTTCTTATCTCTCTAGTCCTCTTGTTTATATATCCGCCTTTGATCGAGATTTGGTTCCTTGCGCTTTTAGTTGACTCTGGAGAGGAGGCAGTTTGATGAATTGGTTTCATCTCGAGAAGATGAGAAATTTGAACAGCAACTTCTTCACTCTGCTGGTTTATGGAATTTGTAATGCCTCTTCCTCTCTTAAACCCACCAGTTTCAATTTTCATTCAATCTTTGAGTTTTCTGAATGATGTAAGCTCTATGGTGTTTGCAGATTGATATCTCCTTTAACAGCTGAAACGAAATTGCCGCCAGTTGTACCGCCCTTAGCAGATGCAGAGCTTTGTGATATTGTTGCACTAGCTCAGAAGGCTTTATCAGCTTCAAAACAAGCTGCATTGTTAGCTGACGACACTGAAGCTAATCCATCTGACAACACCAGGGGTTCTCTCTCCACTAGGTTGCTTTTTTAAACCTTGTTTGTCTTGGCATTATCTGCTTCTTTGCTACTTTTGGGCTGTAATGTGAAAAGCTTTGTATTTCTGGATGTTTGGTTTTAGCTCTTCTATGTCCTTACCGGAAAAGGGAGCCATAGTAAGATCGAAGCGGCAGCTGGAGAGACGAGCAAAGAACAGACGGGCTCCTAAATCAAACGATGTGGACAATGAGGGTTATGTTCCTCAGAAAATTAATGCCAAGAAAAAGTTTAAACAAGGGGTTGATACTGATGATGCGCTTCAGCTCTTCTTGTGGGGACCTGAGACAAAACAACTTCTGACTGCTAAAGAGGAAGCTGAGCTGATATCACATATACAGGTTCATGCTTTCCTTATTCATGTGTCCTTGGACTTCCTTCTTGTTGAGCTTCTCCGGTGCTAACTTCCATAATCTTTGATCTATCAGCATTTATTAAAGTTGGAGAAGGTAAAGACTAAACTTGAATCTCAAAACGGCTGCGAACCAACAATAGGCGAGTGGGCTGAAGCTATGGGGATAAGTTCCCCTGACTTAAAATCTGAAATCCACCGTGGTAGAAGCAGCCGGGAAAAGTTGATTACAGCAAACCTACGTCTGGTAGTCCATATAGCTAAACAATATCAGAATCGTGGGCTCAACTTTCAGGACTTATTGCAGGTTCAAATGAACCCATTATTTTTGTCTAGGCACAAATTTCTTGTAAAATATCTGATACTGTTGTCAAGCTCTTCAATATTTCTGGTGTGGGATAGAGTGATCTAATTTGATGTCCATTTCTCATGATGCTTCTTCTTATGCTTATCTAATGGTTCGTAGGAAGGAAGCATGGGGCTAATGAAAAGTGTAGAGAAGTTCAAACCGCAATCTGGATGCAGATTTGCTACTTACGCCTACTGGTGGATTCGGCAATCCATAAGAAAGTCTATATTTCAAAACTCCAGAACAATCCGTTTACCGGTAACTACAAACTTGTTAAAGAATTGATCAGACCTGACATTATCTCTACTAAAGGATCTACTTTTAAAGCAAGAATTGCTATAATCTACTCATGTTGACACAGGAGAACGTATACATGCTACTTGGAAAAGTATCCGAAGCCAGGAAAACGTGCGTGCAGGAAGGAAACTACCGTCCAAGTAAAGAGCAACTAGCAGGCCACGTTGGGGTTTCAACAGAGAAGCTGGATAAACTGCTGTACAATACAAGAACACCTCTTTCAATGCAACAACCCATTTGGTCTGATCAAGACACCACCTTTCAGGTAACTGTCTTTGAAGATGTTCTGTTGACTGAGCAAAACCGGGTAATAACCGTTTAATCCCACAGGAAATAACACCAGACAGTGGGATTGAGACACCAACGATGAGCGTGGGGAAGCAGATGATGAGGAACCATGTACGGAATCTCCTAAATGTACTGAGCCCAAAGGAGAGAAGGATCATCAAGCTGAGATTTGGGATTGATGGCGGTAAACAGAGATCGTTATCGGAAATAGGAGAGATTTACGGACTGTCGAAGGAGAGGGTAAGGCAGTTAGAGAGCCGGGCATTGTACAGGCTTAAGCAGCACATGAACAGCCATGGACTCCATGCTTATGCTGATTTGCTTGTCTAGCTCATGGAGATATTGGTTTCTTCTATTAATAATGGTATGTGTATACAAAATATACTTTTGTTATATAAGGGTTTTTGTTGATATTCTGAGGAATAGTGTTTTCTTGGATAAGAGTTTTGTCTTTATTTAAGTTCGGTAATTAAGGAAAAAGAGGGATTACCACACTTTGATAATTTGTTTATTTCTGATTGATGTGTAATTGTGCATATCTGTTTTACTTCTTTTAATCAAATTTTCACGAATGCAACTCAAAAAAGCTGGTTGATTAAAATTTGTGTGCAGGTTTTTTGAGTAACTGTTGTAACCAGCTATTCATCAACATTTGTGTACAGGTTCAACAACAAAAGTCACACTTCACAGAGTCTGACCAGACCGACTGATTCACAATAATGTTTTATGAACACTCTAAAAACTAAGCCATATGTCTTTTTTTGGCCCTGTTCGTTTGCTTGTCGCTGGCGACTGAAACCAATGACAGCGACCAAAAGTTGTTCGTTTGCATGTCGTTGGTTCAGCGACCAATCGCAGCGACAGCCGCCAGCGACCAGCGATCGCAATTTTCAGTCGCTGCTTTTGGTCGCTGAATCCAGCGACAGGCAAACGAACAACTTAGAAATCAAAAATATAAATTAAAAAAATAATCAAAAATAAATTAAAATAAATTAAACTAAACTAAATTAAATATAATCAAAACTAAACTTAGTTAAATATAATTAAATTAAACTGAATTAGATTCAAATAAATCAAATTAAATATAATCTAAATTAAAATAAAATATAATTAAGTTAAAATTAATCTTTTTAAATTAAAATATATTAAATTCAAATAAATCAAATTAATTTTAAAATTTTAAAATATAGCGACTGTTTAAAGCGACAGTCAAACGAACAACACAGCGACAGCCGCTAGCGACAGGCAAACGAACAACACATATTGTCGCTGGTCGCTAATCGCTGTCGCTGAATCCAGTGACAGGCAAACGAACATGGCCTTTATCGTGCACAAAGCTTTTCAACGGTAAGACACAAACGGCATTGACCAGTACCGAGCTCTACCACCAAATAACACTCACTTGGTTTTACTATTGTTTCTTGTATTGTCCAAACTGAAACTATGAGATTGATATCATATTGAACGAGATTTTTAACTGGATCAGAGATTCCTATGTATGGCACAAGGGTTTCACTTGTCCTATAGCAATATAGCATCCTATGGCAAGGTCATATTTGATGGTTACATTGACTTTTAATAGATCCTGATGATGACATTTATTGAAAATAAAGAAAGTGGAACTCAATTTATACTTTATGAACTCAATTGCATGTGTTTAATAGATCTTGATTAATACGTTGTTTCTGAAGTTTTTCCTTATATTTTCCAAAGTTTTAGAGGTACAATTCAAATTCGATAGGGAAAATCTCAAAAAGATGTGTAAAAGGTAGGCATCGTACGAATCTAATAAATTGCAAAGAAGAAGACATTTCAGAAGTGGGGCTTGGCTTACACGGACAACCACTCACGTTCAGGTGCATGCCAATGCGGCAATGCCTTACCATTAATAAGTATAGCTCAATTTTATACAATGTTAAAGGTCGACCAAAATCCAAAATAAATGTTGAATTTTAATTAACTGTGTATCACCAATCACCATGTTTTGTTTTTTCCCCTTGCGACATAACATAACACGGTAAGTCTTCCTTTTTTCAACAGTGTCAGTTGTTTGATTTTTTCTCCTCAGAGTGATACATATATGGTTTGCTTTGCATAGTAAATATACTATTTGATGATTTTTTTTCTCCTTTTTTGGTTGTCATATATGTGACGAGTATTTTTTTTTGGTAAAAACTAAGTATGCAATTTTGGTTTTCCATTAATGTTAACATTTTATGTTGATATCATATATGTCAATTATTAACAACATATAAAGTGAGTAATATTTATAAAATCATTTCTAACTTCAAAAATAATTATAATGAGATCATTCTATTTTGATTTGGTTCAAGTTTCTTTTCTTTGGTTTAAATTTAATCCTTACTAGAATAAAACAAAAAGAGATAGCATACAAAACTTAAAAGTCTCCAAAAATTTCGAGTCAAATAGACTTTTGTTGGAAACCTAAACCAAAAACAAAATTACTTAAAAGCCTTTTTGTTTAATGGTGGTCCAATAGTCGAAGAATTTACTCTACAATTGGAGGATTAGGGTTCGAGTCTTGCCATTGTGACTTTGATCATGGTTGGCCATCATGAACACCTTAAAAGAAGAATACCATCATTTCATAGGTTCTAGAGATTAGTCTAAATTACAATTCAGGATTTTAGTTATCAAAACAAAAAAGAAGATTTAATTACATTTAAGTCTTATGTGATGTATTTGAAAAATCAAAAGAAACACACAATAAGATTGATCTACAATGTATATATTTTGAAAATTATCTTAATTAAAAAAAAAAACTTCAACCTGCGTTTCCCTCTAAACGACTAAACCTAACAGCTATTAATTAAAACCAATCCACGTACAAAATTAAAATTAACTAATAAAATATATGTAGCGGTTTGTTTCGTAGTCAAATATTATTTAATATTATGCAATAGTAAATAGTCACCGCGTATGGTTAGTTTGGGCAATTACTTGGTAAGAAACATACTTTTGGGTTTTTGATAATGCTTTGTCCACTCCACTTGACGACTGACTACATAGTATATACTTAACTCTCTATCTTTGTCTCTCTTCCACATCTCTACTACAATTTAAAGCTCATAAGAACTCTTCAATTTCTTGCACTTTTTTATATTGTGGTCGGACTCACAAATTAAGAGAAGAAACCAATCAATGGCACCGGAGGAGAAAGGCACGTGTGAGCCGTGCAAGACCTTTGGGCAAAAGTGCAGTCATGTCGTGAAGAAACAAAGAGCCAAGTTTTACATTGTTCGCCGTTGTATCGCCATGTTAGTCTGCTGGCACGACCACAACCACGACCGCAAAGACTCTTGATTATTTTCTCTTATTGGATTGTCATCTTCATATTTTAAAAATAATATATATCTACATATCAATGTGCATACGTATATTAGAGAAGATTGAATTGTGATTTGTGTTTTGTTTTGTTGGTTCAAATGGGTAGCTTTTGGCCACGTTTTTGTTGCAGTAAGTTTTACTATATTTTGTTAAGATTTATATAAATATGGTAATTAATTACTGCAACTAGTTTAAAAATATTGTGAGTCGTGAGCAAATCTAAGCTTGAGTACGACACTATCTCTTAATTAGAGACTCTAATTAAGTTAAGAGTAAACAATATTAACACTGTAGAAATGTTATATGTATTAGTGACGTTGATCTTATAATCAATTGAGCAATTTGCAAACAAAACCTAACATTAGCCAACTTTTGCAAGGTAACCCTTGAACTATGAAAAATGAAAAATGTAAAATGTAAAACAACCTTCATACTATAACCCTCGGAGGATATATCACCGTGTATATTATTATTTTTTTAATATGAAACGGTGTTATCTTTGATATAAATAAACAAACTAATGTCAGAAGAGAGAACTTGACAACCTATTTTTTTAATATAAATTACAAATGAAATAATTATATATCCAAAGAACAGAATTAAAAAAAATAAAAAATAAAAAAATCACTCCCACCACCAATACCACTTGCTTGGGGCGATTTTGGAACAGCGACGGTCGTGGCATTGGGGACTCATGACATGACTGGCAGTTGTTATCATAATCAGACAGCTTGAACCCTGAAGTCATGGAAATAGAAAACGTGGAAAATTTCTGGCCTTTTGTATTTTCAAAATTTTCCCTTCTGTTGATTTAAAGTTGAGGGTTAGATAAATGTCTCTATGGTAAATCTGGATATAAATAAACACTGTCTACTATTCTATATATAGATAGAAATCTTTTTCTTGCTTCAGAGTCATATATCATCAGATTCGGAGCCATATAAACACCATCTTTTCTTGTCCTTTTTTTCTTTTCTAATTCCATTAGATATGCAAATAACTTTGCCTTCTATATATAAATAAAATAGTTTGTCTGTGTAGAAAAGGAAAAAAAAAATAGTTTGTCTGTTCTTTTGTTCAAATTTCTTGAACTATATACATCTCTCATCAAATTTCTTGTTCAAAGTTAGCATCATCATCTTTTAATGCTAACTTTAACTGCTAAAATTATTTTATCATTTTGTATAACCCACCTATCAACTCTACAAAATTATGGTGTTGCATGCTGCAAATTACGAATATAGAACATAAATTTCCAACCACAGAGATAAAGATAATGAAGTAACTCTGACGCAAGAAGAGAAATAGTTGGAGAATAATGATGGAAAATAATTATGAGGAAGTCTAGTACGATCTAAAGAGGCCATGTGATCTAGTCAAATTCGTACCAATTTATGCCATCTAAATTTTTGAGTTGAGTAATTATTAGTTTTTAATTGGATCTCACACTTAAAACAAGAAATTAATTTAAATCTATATTTATTTTCTTTTGTCAATATGTTGAGTTTCATTCTCAGTTCTTGTGGACTTTTCACACTATAGAAAGTAGAAAATATTGATGTTTCCTTCTACTCTGTGTCTAGTCATTATCAAATTTTTATGAGGAATCACTTATGAGCTAGGAAACACGGAAGCTTCGTCGGAGGTCCGCTTCCCGCTTCGGAATCTTAGTCGGAATCGGAAGCTCTCGGAAGCTTTTGGAATCTCGCTTCCATAACGTTTCTAAAAAATTCATTTTGGAAGCTCCTTGGAAGCTTACGATTCTATTTTGGAAGCTTGCGCTTCCATTTAAAAAATTTGATGTCACAAAATAAATAAGAAATAAGAAATTTTTGACTTTGAACTATTTGACTTTTCTCTATTGTAAACGTACACTATTTGATTTTTAAATATAGAGAGATATTTAGAATTTATGTATTAGATTTGTATGTTAATTATAATTTTTTATATGATATAATGTTTAATTTTTATTATATATGTATATATATATATATATATATATATTAATTTTTATATACGCTTCCAACAAGTACCCACTTTCTATAATTTTTATAAAAATCGCTTCCACGTTTCCAAACGCTTCGCTTCCTCGTATCCGCTTCTGATTCTATGCAACCTAGCTTATGAGTTTATCAAGCAGAGTCAACATAATAACTCAAATCTGATTAAAACTTCATTCCAAAGAACCGATGGAAATTATATGAAACTTAGGTTCAAAACCTTCTTTTACGATGTGTAACTGGAGCATTTGAACATGACTATCTAAAACATGGATTCTAATTTGTCTTTTTTTTTTTTTCAAAATAATTTTCTAAATAATATACATGGCTTTTAAATAGTATGAGACTTCCATGTCAAGATATATTGACCTAAACTACATGAACTAGTGTCCAAATATAAACTAAAAGATTTTAAGCTTGAAGGAACACAAAGAACCTTAGGAAGAAAAAAAGGCTAATTCATTTGCTTATTACCAATACAAATTATACAAAAGTGAATGTTGTTTTTTGGGTATCTGCTTCATATTTTTCGTTGTCTATATCACTAAATGATCAAGGTCCAAACGTCTCTGGGTTTCTCATTTCATGTTGAAGGCAGTTTAAAGTTTCAGAAAGCTCCTCCAAGCGCGGGTGTGAAGAACCACCGACTACAAAAGTTGAAACCCGGTTTCCTACTTCGATCCAGCTACATCCCGGTGTTTTCCTCATTCCTCGCTCAACCATTTCTCTCCTCACCTCTTCAGCTTCCTTCCACCGCCCACTCGAGCAGTACAAGTTGGATAACAGAACAAAACTCAACTCTTCACTTGGTTCTGCTATCTTTAGAACTTTGCTAACTTCTCTGCCTAATTCGGTGTGCCAATGTGTAGAACAAGCACCCAAAAGAGCTTCCCATGAACTATTGTTACTAGCATTAATGACTAGTGAATTGTAAGTTGTCGCCAAGTCCTTTGCTTCTGCTAGATGTCCACCTCTCCCAAACATATCTATCATACATGTTACATGATCTACTTCCAATGGGATTCCATAATCTTTAACCATGGATTCGAATATCGCACAACCTTTCTCTACAAGGCCTGAATGGCTGCAAGTTGTCAGCAATCCAATGAATGTCACATTGTCTGGTTTAATCCCTGACGCTATCATGTTGTCATAGAGCTCTAAAGCTTGATCTGCTAACCCGTGGACACCAAATGCAAAAAGCATTGTGTTCCAAGATACCAAATCCTTGTTAGCTATATCACCAAACGCACGGTTTGATTCCTTAATATCTCCACACTTGGCATACAAATTAACCAAGGCGTTACCAACATAAGCATAACCTTGAAAGCCACAATGGATCAGACAACCATGGATCATTTTTCCATGTCCTAAAAGGGCTAAACCTGAACATGCGTGAAGAACTGCACCATATGCAAAATGATCGGAATCCACCCCAGATTTCATCATTTCGACAAAAAATCTCAGTGCTTGTTCTCCATCTCCATTCCTACCATATCCTGCAATCATCGTAGTCCAAGTAACAATATTTTTCTCAGGGGCCAAACGAAACACCTCAAGAGCTTTATCTGTTTCTCCTACTTTCACACACGCGTCAATAATAGAATTCCAGGATACCTGAGTCAGGACTTCAATAGACTCGAGCTCTCTCATGACATCATCTTTGCAGCCTAATTTCGCGTAGAAACTTAACACAGAATTTTTTGCCTCAACCGCAGAATACCATCCATTCCTCACCATAACAGCATGTACCATCCATCCATAAACCACGTTTGATGAATCAGCACAAGCATTCATCAGAGAACTAAACGTAAAACAATCTGGTTCGAACTCACTCTCCAGCATCTCTTTGAATAACCTTAAACAAGATTCAATCTTTCCACATTGAGCATGCCCTGAGATCATTATATTCCAAGCAAATGGCACCCTTTTCGGCATTTCAACAAAAACATCGAGGGCAGCTTCAAACTGTTCAGCATTCATGTAGGCAAACAAAAGTGAGCACCAAGTCACTTCATTTCTACTATGACAGCACATATCTCGAAACACTTTGTTTGCGCTAAGAGTATCAGAGCACTTACCATACATGTCAATCAGCGAATTATTAACCGGTGACGAAGCACAAAACCCAGACCGGATAACAAGAGACTGAATCTTTCTTCCCAATCTAACATTGCCTAGACTCCCACAAGTGCTCAAGATTGCTGTAAACGAATAATCATCAGGCTTAGAGTCGGAGAATCTCAACTGGGTGAACAGAGCTATAGCTTCCTGATGTAAACCCAGATGAGAATAACTCGTCAACATAGTGTTCCACGCCACGGTATCTCGGTCAGTCATTTCGTCGAACATTTGACGGGCGCTTGTTATGCGACCTGATTTGGCCAAAGACGCAATCTTTGAAGTAAGACGAACCAAAACAGACATTTGGGCAAACTCATGGAGTCACCATATACCTTCTGCTTGTTGGAGCGGTGCCATGGATAACCAATGAACCAGAGAAGAAAGTGAAGCTTATGTTGTTGATTTGTGACAAAAGTTGATAGATTTGGTTCCGAAACTGCATTTTATCAGACGAATTAACACTTCTCCGTGACATTACCAATAGCAAACGCAATCAATTTTCCTTTTGACTAAAAATTCATAGCTTCCTCAAAACAGAGTTGCATAAGCCAGAGTTTGGGTGGACAAAAGTTTAACCGCTAATCGGTTTGATACCGGTTTAGAGATTGATTGTTGTTAATATGCTAACCATACCGTCTGAACTAGGCCTTGACAAAAAAACCGCTAACCAAATAACCGACCGAACCGAACCGAAAAAAACCGAACCATATCCGAACCGAAGTTTTTAAAATAACCGAATGGTTAGTAAAATCTCATATCCAAACTAACCGAAACCGAACCGAACCGATAACCAAACGGTTAACCGAAATATCCAAAAATATATAAGATACCCAAAATTAATATCCAAAATTATAATTATATACTCAAAATATTAATTATTTTTAGAATCAAAACAATCAAATATCGGTTAGTTTTGGTTAGTTTAGGTAAATTTTGGTTATTTTGAGAAAAAACTCAAACCAAACCGAACGTGATAAAAATTTAGTTAGTTACGGTTATCTATTTAAATATTCAAACCGAACCGAACCAA